GTACTGATTAACAATTTAGTAAAAATAATACATAATATATAACTAAGCTTAAAACATCAATAGAGTGACAACAGTTTTACTTAGAGAATACTACAGCTAGTGATGAACACTTAAGAATCTCACTATTCTCCTATAATCAATCCTTGACTGCTTAAATAACCAGATTTACAATAAATAATAACCTATACTCAGATGGATGCACAATCTGTTTCCAGTCTTTTTTTGGGGGGGGGGGATCAGGGATTGAACCCAGTGGCCTGTTAACCCTGAGCCACTTTCCAAGCCCTTTTTTATTTAAAGACAGGCAGGGTCTCACTAAGTTGGTAAGGGCCTTGCTAAGTTGCTGAGGCTTGCTTTGAACTTACGATCCTCCTGCCTCAGCCTCCTGAGTCTCTGCAATTACAGGTGTGCACCAATGTACCTGGCTGCTTCCAGTCTTGTGGTCATCTACTCTATAAATGAATCACTAATAGAAAGGTTATTTTAAGATCCATTTCACAGAAAGCTAACCAAAGTTCCCATTACAAATGACATACAAAATTATTTTTAGCTGAGTATAGTGGCACATGCCTGAAATCCCAGCAACTTAGGAGGCTGAGGCAGGAGGATAGGAAGTTCCAGGATAGCCTTGGCTACTTTGAAAGAACCCGTCTCAAAATAAAAAATAAAAAAAAAAAGTTCAGAGAGGCAGCTCAGTGGTAGAGCACCCCTGGGTTTAATTCATAGTACCACAAAACAACAAGGACAAAAAGTGGTGCATACGAATACTGTTCCTAGAGAGGTCCTATTATTTTTCCAATTCCACTAATGGTGTCTGCTGAAGCATATTTATTTGTAATGTAATCTAGTTATCAACCAGCTGTTCTAACCTAGTGTGGATTTAGAATTTCAAAATGTCTTTATTACTCTAATAAAATGTAATTTTCAAATAAAGGCTTCTTTTCTTAATGACCCAACATATATTATAATTGATAACTAATACATATCAGAGTGTCCGTTAAATACTTTTTGCAATATTTATTTACAACTAAACAACCTGGTTATATGGTTAGGGTCACTAACCTATTTTGAAAATGAGAAAACTAAGACTTAGCAAAGTAACTGGCCCAAAGTTTTATGACCAGTGACAAATCTCTACTCTATGGCAGACAAATCAACTTTCAAGCTAGTTCATTTAAACATAATCCCATCTGTAATTGATCAAAAACAAACAAGCAGCCAGGCACAGAGGTACATGCTTATAATTCCAGCAATTTGGGAGGTAAAACAGGAGGATCACAAGTTTGAGGCCAGCCTCAGCAACTTCAGTGAAGCCCTAAGTGACTTACTGAGACTGCCTCAAAAAAAATTTATATATATATATATATATATATATATATATATATATATATATATATATATATATATATATATATATATATATATATATATATATATATATAAAGGGTTGGGACATGGCTCAGTGGTAAAGCACCCCCTAAAGTTAAACCCCCAGTATTCCTCCACAAAAGAAAGCAGCAAACAAACAAAAGAACCAAAACCAAAACATTAACCACTGCCTCACTTGTTCAGGATTTCAAGGTTGTCAAGGAAAGGTAATCTTAAAACTGAGGCATAATTCTCATTTTAGATTACTTAAAAAGACAATGCTTGCAGAGCTGGGGATGTAGCTCAGTGGTAGAGGGCTTGCCTAAAATTGCTGAGGGCCTGGGTTCCATCCCTAGTATCAGGAAAAAAAAAAAAAAGACAATGTTTGCTTGTAAATGCTCTCTGAGCAGCATGTTCTGTTCTAGAAATTAAAAACTTAAAAAGTAACACATGCAACCCACCTAAGGGAATTCCACATTTCAACTTTAAAGCAAAAATGGTTTTTCAAGTAGAAAAAAAGTTATGTGCCAGTTAAGTGTTTACATCAGGGAAAGAAGGGAGAGTAGGGGTTTGGAGACATTGTTTGGTGTATCTACATATTTCTATTATTGCTCATTTTTAGGAGAAACTTTTAATTACACTGAGTTAAAATCAAACAGCACTATAAAATTACATTACATATGAAGTCACATTGTTACATGTAACATTTCATATAACATTATGAAATAATATTACCTCCTTTTGAACTTGAACATCTCAAAATAATCTAATAATCCAAAGCAGCATTTATAAAGTTAAGGTCAAAAACAGTAAAAGAGCTACAAACATGCTTTTGAATTTATTATGGCAGAAGCAATAAGGTACTGAAACAGAAAAGTTGTAATATTTGTGACTAGGGTAAAGAACTCAAATGAAGAACAGCAGGTAAAACTTTTAAAGTACAAGAAAGCAAAAACAGTAAAAACAATGTATAAGCTCTTGGAAGAAAAAAATTAACAGAATCAATGTATCAAGTAAAGTATTTTTAAGTCAAATACTCAAGGTAAACAGGGTTAACAATTACAATTAATGTTGTTCTACATGTAAAACATACAAAGCAAAACATTATTGAAATTAATGTTGTACAGCAGCATATCAAAATAAACACCACGTACATACACAAAAGAAAAAAAAAAACTGACCAGCTTTGATGACAGTTTTTCCTAAAGTAAAACAATTTAATTGCTACAAACACTGCACAACAGTAGTATCTGCAGTGTTGTGGTATTATTAATGAAGTAGCATGGAAGTGAAAACGTGGACTAGGAATTCAGCATCTCAGTTTAATACCCCTATTCTTCCAATACACGACCCTGGGGAAGTTATTTAACTTCTCTCAGACTCAAGTCTCCTTGTCAATAAAATGGGGATAATAACTACTACCCTTATCTATTCAGAAAGAGTTTCTGTAATGATTAAATGAGATAACAGAAGATTAATCCACTTTGCAGGTGGTTATACACACTGTATGAAGAAAATACTGGACCACATGATCTCTTAAGGCCTTTTAAATTCTAATTCCATAACTCCATTTTTATTAATGTGCAATTTAGGAATCACATAATGTAATATAACAAAAAAAAAATCAAGTGGACTTTTTTTTTTTTTTTTGATATGAGGGATTGAACCTAGGAGTGCTTTTTATTTTGAGACAGGGTCTCACTAAATTGCTGAAGCTGGCTTTGATTTTGTGATCCTTCTGCCTCAATCTCCTGAGGTTCTGGGATTACAGGTGTGAGCCACTACGCCTGGCCTGTTACCCTTTTGATCTTAGGTTAGGTACTAAAACTCCTGTCTGTTTACCTTTCCTCCTCTGTAAAACAGATAAAAGGATACCTGCCTTATCTATCTCTCAACATTGCTTAGAAGAATTGGATGTTTGTAGCTGGGCATGGTGGCACACACCTATAATTCCAGCATCTTGGGAGGCTGAGGCAGGAGGATCATGAGTTCAAAGCCAGTCTCAGCAAAAGTGAGATGCCAAGCAACCATCTCTAAATAAAATACAAAATAGGGCTGGGGGATGTGGCTCAGTGGTCCATTGTCCCTGAGTTCAATCCCCATTACAAACAAACAAACAAAAGAATACATCTAGGGGCTGGGATTGTGGCTCAGTGGTAGAACACTCGCCTAGCATGGGCAGGACCTGGGTTGGATCCTCAGCACCACATAAAAATAAAGGCATTGTAAATAATACACCTAAAAAATAAATGTTAAATAAAAAAGAATACATCTACTTTGCCAGGCACAGTGGCACAAGGATCAAAAATTCGAGGCCAGCCTCAGCAATTTAGAGTGGGGCCCTAAGCAACTTAGCAAGATTCTGTCTCAAAATGAAAAAAAAAAAAAAAAAAGAAAAAGTGCTGGGAGGGCAGGGTACAGTGGCACAGGCCTGTAATCCCAGAGGCTCTGGAGGCTGAGGAAGGAGGATCACAAGTTCAAAGCCATCCTCAGCCACTGAGTGAGGCCATAAGAACTCAATGAGACCTTATCTCTAAATAAAATTCAAAAAAGGGCCGGGGATGTGGCTCAGTGGTGAAATGCCCCTGGGTTCAATCCCTAGTACCAAAAAAGAAAAAAATAGATCCCAAATTAGATAATTAGATCCCAAACCTGTTTTCTGACTCCTAATCCATGGTTCATCCATCAGCATACTACCTCTGCAACTAAAATATGAAAACTATAAATACTGATACACTGAACCAATGTAATTTCTTACAAGATTTATCAAACTCAAGCCAGTGTATTCAGAAGTATTTTTTAACACCAAACTGCTGATGCTGTAATAGAAAATTAGTTTTTGAATTGGCTGTTTATGTCAAAAAAAAAACAGGGCCAACTCTCTTGGAAGTTAGCAGTCTCAATCAGTAATTGCTCTGGACATTATATTTAAGTTAAATCTTTCATTTGTTAAACAAAAACAAATGTGAACCTCAGGTTAAGTTGCTGGGCTATAACCTGCTGCACGTGTCTAGGTTAAGGTGTGTCTTGTAGACCAGGAGATAGAACAAACATGAAGAGCAACAAAAACAATGGCAAAAACCTACTTCAGGGACTGGGGTTGTAGCTCGGCAGTAGAGCACTTGCCTAGCACGTTAGAGGCCCTGGGTTGGAGCCTCAGCACCATATAAAAATAAATAAATAAAGGTGTTGTTCTGACCACACCTAAAAAATACATTAAAAAAGCTACTTCATATTAGTATGTGAGGTAGAATAAAGAATGTGAATAATATCTGCATGTCTTGAGGACTTTCCTATATGTGGATGACACGACTAAGCAAGAATTGTCACAATACAATGACATGTCACCAGAAATTATTTTGGGATCTATGCTACAGGATTCCATAATAGGTGAAACCTCAAATATACCAAGATATACCTAAATGAATCCTTATTAGAAGGGTCTAAGTACATACCCATAGTTTATGTGAGAATATGTGGTCTGATTATAAGAGTACACTAATTAATAAATTATAATCAAAAGTGAACCAAAAGTCTACTCAAGAACCCATTTGAGAAATTATGTGTAAAATCCACACACATCCCATTACAATTTATTTTCATTACATCTGGTTATCTGCACTAATACATACCTGGTAGAGTTCTTCTAAATTGTATTTAATTGAAGTACTATTCTGAATAGCTTCCACTGCTTCTTTCAGTTTCTGCCATGTTTCATCTGTGTAGTTTTCTGGTAATTTAGGTTTATCTAGATGATATGTAAAAGATTTGCATTAGAATAATATGTAGGATATAGTAACCAAAGATCTATAACACAGCATTACAATTTTTAGGATGTTATGATTTTCATAACTATTATAGCTAAATATTAAAGTAACCACTGTATTTAAGCTCAGTATAAATAAAATTTAAAATGCCAGAATACTGTTTAAGGCATTTTGACTCACCTATTAAAACTGAAGGTGAGGGTTTTTTTCTCCTATTGATTGTATTGCTTCAAAAAAAAATAAAAATTCAAGAATGACAGATAAAAAATAACAATCCCGATCATCTTGTGTAAAACCTATATCAACATGAATGAATCTTGTACATGAGATTTAAAATACTGAGTATCTACTAAGTGCAAGGTATTTTATAAACTTCTTAATCTTTTCAACAATGCTCTGGAGTAAATATTATCATCCCTATTTTACAACTGAGGAAAAGGAAACTGAAGTGGGAACTCATTTGGTGAGCTTGCCCAAGGTCATCATAGCTAGTAAAATGGCAAAGCTGGGATTCTAATCCAGGTCTGTGTGACCCCCCAAATTTATGCAACATCTACATAAATGGAAAGAAATATCTTTTAACTCAGTGTTTGAAGTACCTTTATGAGCAGAATGAATTCTAAATATTAAAACAAATGACTCCAAAATGACTCCAAAATCTATGCAGCATTTTCAGAATGTAAAGAAATCTTTTAATGTAAGCTTTAAACTTCACTGGCCAGCAAAAAATGAAAAAAAAATTAATTAAAACATCCAAATGCCTTAATAATGTGTTTTTACTTTAGAGAGAGAAAAATGAACAAAATCTCTGGAATTAATTTGCAAATGAAATTAGGATAACAGCTCATTTCCTAAAAATTATTGGTTATTGATGCATTTTTAAGTGAAATAATGAACATATTAATAATTACAATTCATATCCACTTTAGAAAACTATACTATTAAATCACAAAGAATAAAACACTTGAGAGCCTAGAGATGGGAAGGAGATGATATAAAAAAGGGTTAAAAACAGACAACATCCTAACCTTCTGCTTGAGACAAAATAGAGCATATTCCTGATTTCTATACCAATGTTGAAAACACAAGCACAGAGAATCTAATTTTCTCAATGCTAAAATTTAGCCACAAGACATTTGTCTGATAAATATTACTTAAGTTCATTCATTTACTTCTCCTTTTAACAAGTATTTTAACATCTATTACCTGTCAGTTAGGGGTGGTAAAAAAGTAAGTCAGAAAAAATAGAAACACATTCAACAGATAAAAATTAATTCAGCTCAAAAACATTTTAAATGTTGATTTTGTACTTGCATCAAGGCATTCATTATACGAAACTACATATCTCAAACACAATACAAGCAAATTTTCCTAAAATCTGTAGGTCAATACTTTAAAACCTACTTAAGTGAGGAAAAAAATGTAGTAATTGTTTCTATCTTTAGACTAGTGGTACACAGAGTTACTACTTCTGTGTATACACAATATTTTTTCACTTCCAAACCCTACTTTTGGAAAGAAATTCAGAGACCCTATATATTTTTCTCCAAATATTTTTTCCACAATGAGTTTCTTGAATATAATACAACATTATACATCTAATTATAAATCTTATATGAGCATGGAAAGATCACCATTGCTACCTGCATTTATTTCTACGGATAGAATGTGGCCTACTGAAGCAGAAAAATAAAAATCTCAGCAGTGCCAAGGCTCACTATGCACCTGAACTAAATAAACCTCTTTAGAATACAATTTCTCACCTGTAAAATCCGGATCAAACATACTGTAGATTGTCAGTGTTATAAGGAATAACAGATTAGATACAATAGGTTGAGAAAGACCTCGAAACACTGCAAACACCCGGTGGATGCTTCAGCACAAGGATACTAACCACCCCCGGAAAATGAACCCTCCACCAAAAAAAGGACCTCCCCTCCATCTCATTGATTATGCATAAAACATTAGGCCACCTCTATACTGTTTAATATATTAACATAAACAGAGCACGTGACCGCTCAAGTGTCAAATCCTTAGGTGATTATGGATTTTGGCCTTGGTTACCTTTAAAGTTCTTGATCACTAACTTCTTAGCAGAGCCAGGCTTGCTGTTAGCAAAGCTAGAGACGGTGGTAGATGATTTGGCTAGGCCGTTTGCATGATGCACCGAAGCCACAGAAGAGATTAATATACTCTTATTTTTAAGTTGCTGCTGCTGCTGAGATGTTGCAGCAGTTGGTGAAGATGAGGAGGAGGAGGAGGA